TAACTTTTTTTAGGTATAACTGATTTTCCCAAAATATTTTGTGAAACTTCTCAGAAGCTGGTGAATGTGGAAGCATTTGCTCTGGCTGCAAAATATTATTCCATACAAAACTTGGGAGTATGTACTCCTTTTGAACAGCTGCTTGCAGCCCTTCAAGGAAATGAAAAACAGAGAACTGGTATGTGTATTTGTGTGTGTGTGTGTATGTAGATACTTAAAAGCAATATATTGTTCATATATGAATGTCTTTCTAAAATATTCTTAATTTATTGTTAGACCTTATATCATATGGGCTGACAAATAGCTTGTGCCTAGAAGAGTAGATTTTCTCTTATACTATATTAAACAGAGTGACTGAGAGATCTCTACATTTTTCCCTACATTAGCCCCTGGCAACCTTTACTTGAGATAGTTCCTGCCCTTAAAACACAGTGGGCTACTACAAATTTACAAAATCCTTATGTTTATTTTTGTTATAGTATGCTAATGTTCTCCATAGCCTGTGCTTTGGGAAGAAGGTGGGAAGAGTAGAAGGGGAGTTGGGGATGTGGGAGAGAAACATGAATGTCAAAGAGTGATGATGGTAGAAATAAAAAAATAAATAGCAACATGAGATTAAAACTCGACCATATTGGGCGGATGAGACAAGCCACCAGTCAGAAGGTCTCTGCAAAAGAGACAAATTTTAGAAGAAAGAGAAAAAAAATAAGCGAGCAGAGAAACATAGATCGGGTAAGGGTCAGAAGGAAGGGTGCCTAAAACTACAGGAGACTCCACGGGAAGACGTTGCGGAGGAGAACTGGAAGGAGAAAGTCCCGAGAGGCTTGGAGACCAGCGACAAGGGTAGGTGGAGCGGTTAACTTCCCCCTCCCTTGCATCTCAGACTGCTGGTGGCTCCTGAGTGGCTGGAGAGAGCTGCCGACACCAGTCCAGAGACGGCTGCCGCCAGTGAACAGTGGCCTCTTGCGGACTGAGTGCCAGGCTCCCAGCCCCCTCGGGGCACCTGCCCGGGCACAGACCCGAGCCTAGCGGCAGACCCCATAGTGCTCCATTCTCTCCTTCCCCCTCCCTACCAGTGCGTGCCCAGAAAGACAATTTAGCCATCACACGGGGGTATCTCCAAGGAACGGGACCTTTCCTTTTGGGGCCCTACAGCAGACTGAGGGGTACTCAGACTGCGAGTTCCCTACCCGCCAGCCCTCCCAGGTGCTGCTTGCCTGGGGACTCCAGGAGAGTGGGGCAAATCCCGAGGTGGAGTGAAATCGATCCAGCT